CCATTCTCACCTATTGGCAGGACTGCGAGCTGCTGCCCGAAGACTTGGAGAAATTGGTTAAGTCCTACAAGAGCGTGGTCCAGCTTGAGCTTGGTGAGGAGTTTGGTGGAACATGGTGGAACATTAGACATAGTTCAATCAAGTGGCCAGTGGATGACAGTATACAATTGGTATGCCTAGCAGAGTGGATGAATGATATGGTGGGTGGCGTTGAATATGAGCAGGTTTTTTGGAGGCTCAAAAACCAGTCCAACCAATATTTGTTTATCCAGACACATTGTTCACAGTGCCTGTCGCTGGTGAGGAGTTCCCTGAAGATCCAAAGGCACAGCTTTGGGGAGCCATTGGCGCTGTTTTCAATTCCTGGATGAATCAGCGCGCCAAGACCTACAGGCCTTGGTCAAAGAGTCCTTGAGTGGAACGAATGGGAGACGGCAATCCCTCAAGGATCATGTCCACTGATCCCTGAAAACCCCGCCTGGCAAAGTGACCGAAGCAACGTGGAGGATTTGGATGAATCTCTACTGGGTTCAATGTGTCCATTATTCTATCCTGTTAACAAAAGATCCTGTTAACAAAAGGGGACCATTTTTTATGGGAGCAGTGTGTGTGCTGGTCTCCTGAAGAAATGCTTGACAACACCCAATAAAGATAACGATCACACCCTATGCTATGGATGTTGTTGCTGTGCATCGTGGTTACTTGTTTGGCTGTGAAGTTGCCAGGGCGCTGCACGACATCCCTGAGTGGTGGGGCACTGCTGTGAACGTCCAGGCCATGGTTTTTGGCAACATGGGTAACGACTGCGCTACAGGCGTGGCCTTCACTCGTGACCCCTCCACTGGAACCAACGAATTCTACGGACGCTTGGCCACATGAATCAATTATTAATCTCGTAAAGAGCGGTGGCATTTTCAGGAATTTGGCTAACTGTTACGGCTAACACCATGCACATGCGAGGTCCATGTCACTGCGGTTGTTGGATGGGCCCGCTATACCCTGAGAGAGAAAGTCCAGCATATGTATATATTTGTAAGTACTTATGTAGCTTGGCTATTCCTGGGACATTCCCCAAGCATATGCGAAACTCGTCTCAACGTGCCAAGGAGAGTTCTTGGTGAATGCGCAGGGTGAGGACGTGGTCGCCGGAATCCGCACGCCTCAAGAGCTCACGATCAAAGCAAGGAAGTCGCACGGCTCCGAGCTTCCCTCTTTGGAGGAAGTGATGCCAAGCATCTTCAGGGAGTTGCTCAACTTCGCCATATGCTTTTTCCTAGTTACAGCAGCTGGTGGTTTGAGGGGAGGGGAGCTGGGGGTGTCATGTTCCGGAGTGCCTCGGGGAGTTTCTTAACATTTCTTACCCACTTGCAACTTGCTAGTTTCCTGTTTGCAGGAGCTTTATGAATTTCGAAACTAGATTCGATCTTGGACCAGCGAGGTTGTTGTCAGTGCGAAGCCAGTTGGAGACCCATTACAAAGATATGCAAGACATCGAGTTCACCATTCAGCAGGGCAAGCTCTACATGCTGCAAACACGCAATGGCAAGCGCACTGCTCCCGCTGCACTGCAGATTGCTGTTGACATGGCAAAAGAGGGTTTGATTACCAAAGCTCAGGCTCTGATGAGCTTGAAGCCTGACTTGATCGACCAGCTGTTGCATCCAACGCTGGACCCCAAGGCCAAGAAGGATGTCATTGCCAAGGGCCTTCCCGCTTCTCCTGGCGCGGCTGGCGGTAAGGTTTCTTGGCTCGAGATTCTTGCAATCTATACCATTATATATATATATAGTTGCAACATCATCTCCCATGAGACAAAGATGTAGATGCTCTGAATATATACAGCTGGCTAGGCAAAGGCATTTGGCTTCCAACGTTTGGTGGGATTTGACAGTTTTTACTTTTGTTTGTTTCTATTGGATTGTACAAAGCACACCTGCTTCCTAATTTCATATGATGTTCCACGCCAGAGCCACAGTCAAGGTTGTATTCTCAGCTGATGAAGCTGTGCGAAGGAGCAAGGATGGGGACAAGGTCATTCTGGTTCGCATTGAGACCAGTCCTGATGACATCCATGGCTTGCATGCAGCAGAAGGAGTCCTCACCACCAGAGGCGAACGGGCACCATTCTTTGGAGGTAGTGCTGAATTCTTTCAAGTCTAATTTAAGTGATACGTACAAGCAGGCAGCTCGATGTCTACTCGCTTTGTATGCTAATCACGAGAGTAGACTTCCGTTTCAGGTGGTATGACGAGCCATGCTGCCGTCGTTGCTCGTGGAATGGGCCGACCATGTGTAGCGGGTGCGGGTGGAATCACCGTGGACTATGCTGCTGCCAAACTCACCGTGGGCTCTGTGACAGTGACGGAAGGGCAGATCCTCACCATCGATGGAAGCACTGGTGAAGTGATGGTCGGTGAAGTTCCTACTGTGCCACCACAGCTCTCGGGATCCTTCGGAAC